TTCCACATAAGATCAAAGCGATCGAACTGACGTAAAAACGACGGATTCCGACAAAGGTCATTAAGATGTACGTGGCGGCACTTTTCTTTGTTATCTTTTGAAGTGTCACATGTACAGACAGTGGCTACATTTTAAAGATGCTGGGGGTAATTTTCGGGTGATTTCGTTTGACTTAAGATCTGAGGTCCGGAGGACTAGTCTGTGGGCAAACAATATTTGGGGTGTGGATTTCCGACTGTCCTCGCTTGTGGGTATTTGGAAAGTAAGGTCCCATCTAAGCATAATTTCGTTAGCTGCGGTATGTCATTTGAAATCGCCAAAAACGAATAGCTCTGATAATGGCCGATTACTTCATTCAAAAAATCCTTTCGACCTTGGGAAGGTACTATTATATTTGGTAAAAATATGTGCCATTCCATCATTTGTTCACCAGCCATTGACTCTCCAATAGGCATCCGCACTGGTTAGAAGGATCTTTTCATACCCAGGTGTGGAGAGCGTTTTTAATACCAACCGGTTCCCTGGGCACACATGTCGGTGCAGATAGCGCCAGTCTACTTTATTTTCCAGCTGCTAACCCCTCCCCCAATTTGTAGGACCTCAGTTAAATAAGTCGGCTGCACCTTTACGTACCTCGCTGCAAGGCATTTATGTGGTGTGGAGGCTTCAGCCGGCCGAATTCTAATGACATTTTCCAACGAACTTGAGGGTAATTGAGGAGATTGTGAATGGTGACACAGCACTGCATTCCATCTGAATTACTGGTAAAGACCGCGACTGTCAGCACGAGATAGTTGGCTTTTTGAGTAATACGAGTTAACTTACCTTTCTGATAGAACAATTTAGGCATGAAATTCTGACATTTTCGATCTGAATTACTCAGGATGACAGTAAGTGTCTATAATCGACAATTCTGAGATGAGATGCAACCGCTGTGCATACAAGCAGATATTACAGCGTTCAAAAAATATAGTTTAAGTAAAACGACTAGTAGACTATTCACGGTGACAGATAACTTTAAGGGGTAACGCACTCGGTCTCTTCCTTTGTTTTTGTTAGTGAGCATGAAATCAAATTAAATAAAATTTTACACGGTGTCACATCGCACTAAATATGTTTTTTATATTAAAACAGTTCTTTATGACTAATGCAAAGACCTTTTCTGGACGATGATCTCGCACAAAGTTGCATTATTGGACTTAATGCTATATCATACACAATAAACTAAATGTTCCGATGCTCGAACCCTCTTCTTCTTCACTTGTGCTTACACCTGAAACTCGAAATTCCGCCTTCATTCGTGAAAAGTCCGGGCGCGATGCGTTTCGGAAAACTCGCAGCTGGGAGATACTCTCCACACGAGAGGCAGCAACACACGAACAGGTACGTTTTCTGCACCGATGTATCCAAAATGAACTAACCCCACGATGTCTAAGAAATAAACCTCCCGTTAATTCGGCTATGGGAAGAGGCGTTGTGAGGCGGTTTGTCAAACAGATGACAAGAGTTCTGATCGACGACTGTCACCGGCGTTTGCCGAAATAAAAGACTAAGGTCCACGAGAATAGAAGGCAGTGTGTTCACACTCTCGGTAATTCTATCGCCGCGGTTCCTGGGAAGTCGATCACCGCTTTGGCACACCACAGGCAAGTCATGAAGAGAGAAGTATGAGAAAGGAAATCTACCAAGCTAAAATCAACAGGCACAGAAAACTCAGACTTGGTCCACGACCTCTCGTTTAAGTATCTAAAAGAGCAGCAACTACGAGTGCTAGAGCATAAACCGTGTTTCAATACTGAAGATTCCGTTCCCGTCAACTATATTTGAGCCCCGGAAGCTATGCTTGTAAGAAGTGAAACATCCAACGACACAAAAACACTCAATCCGACAACGT